GGCACCTTATCGTTGTGTGCCTGGGCGTAATGGCCTCTCCCCAAGCCCACATGACTATATAACACACCAGAGACCCAGACAAGATTGATCAGTACGTTTTATGGAACAAGAAGACTCACATGAATGGGAACATTCTGTGATTTCTCTATCTGTGTATAACAACAGTGCACCAAACCACCTCTACGTAAAGGAGAAAAACCACGCCCCTCTCTTGCTTTATTTTTGCTGTTGGAATGTGTGACATTTGTTCTGAATGGAGCCTTTCTGTGAAATGTATGGTCTTAATAAAGGCAACACATGCTGTTGGGGTTATTTTTTAAGTGTAGCTAGCTAATAATTGTGTCATTGATCTAACTTCATAAGGCAGAAATAAGCTAAAATTATATGTTCATTTAGAAACTACATATAGACTTTTTATATGGATTTCATAAATACCAGTTCCTAAAATAAACTTTTTGGCATGATTTCAGTATAGTGGAAGTACACAATTTTGCCCATGCTTATTCACTCTGTCTGTGTAACATAATGGGAAAAGCTATATTTTTATTTACAATATGCTGTCTAACCAGAAGGTCTCTTAACACTCTAAGCAAAGTATCATCATCATCATCATCATCATCATCATCATCATCATCATCATCACCACCAACAACATCAACATCATTATCATTATTAATGCTTTCCTTTTATTTACAATATGCTGTCTAACCAGAAGGTCTCTTAACACTCTAAGCAAAGCATCATCATCATCATCATCATCATCATCATCATCATCACCACCACCACCACCACCAACAACAACAACAACATCAGCATCATTATCATTATTAATGCTTTCCTTTAAAAATGGCTGTGGGAGTCAACTATTTTATTTTTAATAAATCTTTAGCTTAATGTGAACTCATAAATCCACCCTCCCCCCCCACACCTTAACTCTTGTTTAATAACAGCTAGGTATTCAGAGTAAAGAATACCTTGCTGTTATTAATTATTTTTAAAAAACCAATACTTGATCTGACCTATTGAGCAGTCCCTCTAGTTTACAGTATGTTTCAGGTTATGGTGGAAAGAGGGACCTGGGTTGTGAAAGGACACAATTTATTCAATCCACAATGTACTGTTTTTTTTTCACCTATCCACATTAGCTTACTGAATGTGTTAGAATGACAGCTGTTCTGTAGAACGTACATATCCTCTATAAATGTTTTGTGGTCTGTTCAGTAATGCATCCTTGCTGTGGTGCTCAATGCAAAGCAGATCTAAACAGAGCAAGTGCAGAGAAGGGCTTTTCAGAATGAGGAAGTAGGTGAGTGGATGGGTGACTGAGAGGTAACCCACTGCAATTACTAATGCATGCATGGCCTCCCATTTTCATCATTTCAGCACCAGAAAGTGGAATTTTTAAAAAACAAGAAGCTTTGGCACAATCAATATATTCTTCAATGAGACCTACTGCGATACAGTGGACAAATTGTTGGGTTAGGACTCAGGAGGTCCAGGTTCCAATCCTCACTTGGTCATGGGATGGAACGTCTTATGTATCATGGAAACTCTGCAATAGCAGCCATGAGTTGGAAGTGATTTCATAGCACATATAAACAACAATGTATTATTTACTGAATATACAGTGGTGCCTCGCTTGACAACGTTAATTCATTCCAGCAAAATCGCTGTAGAGCGAAAACATCGTCAAACGAAATAAAAAACCCATTGTAACCCGTTCAATGCATTCCAATGGGCTGAATACTTTCTCGTCCAGCGAAGATCCTCCATACGGCAGCCATTTTCTGGTGCCTGTTAAGCGAAAAATCAGTCCTAAAAACAGCGGGGGGGGGGCATTTTGAAACCAGACGATCAGCTGTTTGCTGATCGTCGTAAAGCGAAAATCAGTTCCCGAAGCAGGGAACCGATCAACGTGAAATGAAAAAAAAAACCATTTAAACCATCGTTTTGCGATCGCAAAAGAGATTGCAAAAACTTGAACATTAAGTGGATTCGTCGTAGAGCAGGGTAATCATCCAGTGGGACATGACTGTATTCTGCAATTCCCAGAAAATCCTGGTCAGAAAAAGCTGGTGGTGAAGGCCTCGGGGAGTTTTAATCCAAAACTGTCTAGGGACCCAAGGTTGGTGACTGGCTAGTATCAGACATAATAACAGGGGTGGGCAATTAATTTCTATACGGGGTGCCATATGAAAAATCTGATCTGTGTTCGGGGGCCGAACCACCTTTACTTAAAAATAAAATGAAACAGTGATGTTATGATTGTTTTTATTTTAAAATTGTTAATCTTCACAAATACTAAAGAGGTTTTTTGTGGTATGTTAAAGATAAGCAACTGATCAACTTTAGACAAAAAGCTATAAATGGTTTTGATGTTCAAAACTGTCCACGGGCTGGACAGGAGCAGCTCATGGGCTGTATGTGGCCCTCAGGCCGCACTTTGCCCAGGTCTGCATACGAACAACAGTTTGATAATGGGGTAATAGATCCAGACTCATACATTTCATGGAGCAGAACACTATTTTCTTTGTCAATGGGTCATTTCCTGAACCCACCCTGAGATGGATGAAATGGTTACTAAAAAAATGATTCACTTCTGAATGATATTTTGGGGCAAAATGTTTGGAAAGGTGGGGGCAGCAGTTCTATTCCAGGTATGCTTGAATTGAGTGGATTATCTGGACCCACATCAGTCCAGCTTCAAGTCTGGGTTGCTCTGACAGTTGATTGAAAGAAGATCAGGAGAGTACCACCCTGCAATTTCTCTGTTACTTCTTTGTCACTGTTATACTGTTGCCCATGGTATTTCTCTGGAAGGGCTCCCTGAAATGGCAGTGGAGAAGACAGAGTACAGTGGTTGCAATCATACCTCCAGGGTTGGATTCAGAAAGTAGTGTTGAAGGGGCCTGGAATTTGGTTATTCTCTTCCTGACACAGAGAATAGCACAAAGCCCAGTCTCACACCCTCCTGTAAATGCTGTGATATCTTACTCTGCTGCAGAGTGTGCTCTTGTACATCAAAAATTCTTCTGAGTGGTTGAAAGGTGAGGGCAATGTTTGGCATATGGCGGCCAGCATTAACTAGAGAATTTGCCTCATTTGTAGGGTAATATGCTCACCCTTTGTGGCGATCCCCTCTGAAGCCCCTATTCCCCCCCCCCACGCCTTCATGAGGTTCTCGCTCTTCTTCTTTCTTCGCTGCCACCAGGTATTACTGCCTTAATACCATTTAATCATGGAGACATGTGTGCTTTTAAAACTTAAGTCGTTTATTAGATTAGGAAGTTAATATATGATTAATATTCAAGAGAAAAATCACAAGCTGCTAATCATATTTGAATCAAATCTGCTATAACTTTAAAACTCTATTAATTCTCTGTTCCATTCGTCGTTCTTACAGATCTCTAAATCACTCTCAGTTCACTTTTAAGTTTCACACAGTCTCTCTCTACCAGAACCTCTCTCAGACTCCATACACCAGCCTTTATATCCAGCTCCCACCACCAACCCCCGGCTCTGCCTTCCGTCCACTCATTGGCTCCTTCTCCACTGTTTTGCTGTGACGGACAGGTGAGGACAAGGCTGTTTGTTACACCCTGCATGGAGGTGGTGCTCAAAACTTGTGGGGAAAATGAAGAGTTGTTTCACCGATACAGTTTAGACAAAAGCAGGGGTTTGGGTGAGGCATGGGAAACCTTTGGAGCAAGCATATTTGGTAATGCAGCTGCTTCCTTCTCCAACTTACCTGTTCAGGGTCTGTCCTCTTTACCTTCCCACTGGGACACTGCAGTGGGATTTGCTGTTCGCCTAGTTGCCTCCATAATACTGCAATGTCCTCTCTATGACATCACTGTGACACAAACACAGAACTGTGGATAATCACCAAGATTGGTGGGCAAAGCTGTCACGGGTCCTGAGACATGCACCTGTAAGAGGGGTAGGAAGATAAGTGTTCTAGTATGTATGGCTCTCTATGGCTATCCTGAGCCCTTTCCTTTCCTTGCCTTGCCTTACCTTTTCTGCAAAGTAGCCTGTGGCCTCTATCACCAGACTTTTCATGTAGTCTACATTTTTATGACACAATGCCAATAGAGTATTGCTCTGTGCTGTGCACTTCATGCCCTCCCTGTTGTGAATTTATCTCCAAATATTTGTGTAATGTCACAGGATACAGAGTGACCTATGCTTTGTTTTTTAAAAGAGTTGTTTCCGTTTTAAAATTCTATCTATTCACATAGAGGATTTTTCCTTCCACCAGCTCCATCACTAGCATAAAATTCTGTTGTCCTTGGTTTGTTCTGACCAAGTCCTTAGTGTGTTCAGGATCTGAACAGGATGTGGCTTAAATCTGCTCCTCTCTGGTCTGTGCTCTTACCTTATAAAATGGTCACTCTACTGGAAGAACCACACCTGTCTAGAAGATATGCATAGTCTTGTGTTGGCATATCCGAGCAGTTGTATTGCTTCTAAGGCGGCAAGCTATACAAGTGACCAGTCCTGTAGAGAAACACTGTTTCCCCCTCATATCACTGCTGCTCTCACACATGCATACTCTGCTTAAAATGTCTGGAGAGGTTGAAGATTTTCCCATTTTCTTTAACTGACTCAGAAATGGGTGGACAGGCAGGTGGGGTGCAGCTAAAAAGGAGAAGAAAACCTCAATTGGCACTAAATGAACATTTATTTGTTTTTATAGCCCTGATGCAGAGGATTAGGAAAAGCAGAGCTGGGTGAAAGGTTTAAAACTCCCCTACCTGCTTGCAATAATCCCATTCTAGTTTAAGCCCCATGTGCATATAGATGTGTTGGCCCAGCAGCTAACAATTTCCCAAGCAACACTATAACAGAGACCTACAAAACATGAGGGAGAAATGTTTCTGGAAGGATACTAACTCTGAAGGCAACATAGCCTTCCGCGACAGAGTGAGAGATGGAGGAAGTCACTCAGTATGTGGTGGCACAGAACCGTCATTTCATGGGAAGTTTGAGGCCAGGCAGAGGATAGGAGGGGCGTGAAGTCTTGGCCTTAGTACTGAGATGCAGGATAAGAAGTTAGAAGATGGTAGTTTTGTGAAGAAAACTTAAGAAGGAGTCGGATTTCATTGCTGGAGCCCAGCTTGTAGGCTCGCAGTGACTCACCCAAGAGCCAGCCTCAGTGAGAGCAGCCTTTGTTCCACTTGCGCTGAATGCGGGTGGGGGAGAATGCAACAGCAGCCACAGCAGCAGCAGCAGCCTCTGCCTTTGCCTATGTCTTTGCATTTCTGAACGCAATATAGGCAGGCAGCTGCAGCAGCCTCCTCCTGAGGATCTGGTTTTGCAAAATGTCCCCCTGGTAAGAATCCTGCCCTTCTTTTCCCTCTTTATGTATCTGCACTGGACTTGTTCATTTTACCTCTCCCTTCCTTTCTTGTGCTTTTTAACTTTTTTTTTTAATCCTCCAGCCAGTCCCAGTGGCCCTGGAATTTGTTCCTGTTACTTTTGGGTTCATTGCTCCATGCTGTTCTGCCGGCTCAGGTCATAGAAGGTAAGAACCTCCTCTCTCTCTCTCTCTCTCTCTCTCTCTCTCTCTCAAGTTTCGAGAGTGGGCAAGTGAAGAGAGGTTTGTTCCAACATTTAGCCTTTCCCACTAATACAGGCAGGAATTATGCATTGCTTTGAGAACTAGAGGTGGTGTGTTTTTGCTGGACAACTTGTCAAGAGTTGCATCAAATCTGGAAAGCTATCACTGCCATTCATTCTGGCACTTTAGAAGACTGCAACTGAACTGTGGGCTGAATGGAGAGGACCAGTCATGTTCATTCTTCAGTGTGATGTCAGAAAGCCAATAATGCCGGTTCTGCAGCGTTACTGCATTCAAACGTGGAAGACATTGCAAATGTATGCATAAGAGTGTACGATTTGGAAGAAAACGTTTAAAATGTTGGTAAACTTCAAGGTGCATTGTGTGATATGGCATTTTTGATATTTACCGTTTTAAAAAATTTACTTTAACTTGTGCATGTGGGGAATTACCTGAAACTTCCCAGATGAGGCAGTTCATAGTTGTGATATATAAATGAAGATAGGTAAAGATGGGTAGAGAGACTGAAGCATGCCTGGGCATCATGCTTGGCCTGTGTTTCCCAGATGTTCTTGGATTAAAATTAGCAGAAGCCTTCACCACCAGTTATGCTGGCCAGGGTTTCTGGGAGTTGTAATCCAAGAACATCTGGACCCAAGGTTGGGAATCACTCTGCCAGGTGCTCTGGATTATGAAAATTTAGGTATTTTGGTTTTTTGATATGTTCTGGTTTTCTTCAACCAGGTGCTCTGGATTTGATTATGAAAATTTAGGTATTTCAGTCTTGAACCTTTTTAGTTTTTTGATATGTTCTGGTTTTCTTCAACAAACAAAAGGAAACATCACTGCCTGAGATGGGTCCTCTTTATTCTTGGAACAACCTTATAAGGCAGGTTCAACAGAAAGTATTTTTGGGCCCAGCACTATCCACTGCAAACTTTAATGGATGAAGAGGGATTTGAACACAGGTCTACCCAGCAGAGCACTTCACTCAGTTACTACACAACACAGACTTTCTACATTCTTCCTTCTGCAGTATTGCAACAACTCTTTAACACTACACTATTAAAACTCTAATATTCAGATTTCACAAGCATGCAATTAATGATTTATAAAATAACTAGAAACTAACTGCAGACTTAGTAGGTGCATATTCAACATTGTATTCATTGGTCTTTTGATAAAAGTAATCAGTGTGAGACTTTAATAAAGTAGCATTCAAAAGCATCCAAACAGACTAGATATCTGTGATGGTGCACCATCTATGGATCACATCCTGGTTATAGAGACAAGGGAGATTTCTGAATTTCCCTGCTTCTCCTCCTGTAAAACAGAAAGTACATTTATCTCATGTATCTTCAGTAAGGAATGCAACACTAGGTTGTGAAGGCAGGGAACTCTTTTGTCACTCTGAAGTACAGCTGTAGAAGAATGTAGTCAAATCCCTCTGTGAATGTCTACATTCAGCCCCATGCCCTAATATTCCAGAGACTATTTTTTAAAAAAACCTCAGAATATAACAGTTTGTTTTATTTTGCCACCGAACGCATTAAATTAGTCACTCTTGCATATGTTGCATTTCACATTTTTTCCATGTGGCAACTTTTCCAGTTCTGAACTTGTTACGATGGTAAGTCGGATGCTGCTTGCTCTGTCAGTTCCTTTAGTCAGAGGATGCAGACCCACAAAAGCCTGTTTTATGGAGAGAAATACCATATCTCAAGGTGGGGAACATGTGGAACTTCAAGTGTTGCAATACTCCAACTCCCATCATTTCTGAACATAGATTATGCTGTCTAGGATCAATGATGCGAACTAGAGTTTTTGAAGGGTCCCAGATTTCCCAACTGTGCTTTACACCAGTTACATCATAGAGAGGGTTTTGGTGGCGACAGCATCTCACTAGATGGCACATGATGTCATAGTAAAGGAGAACTAGTACAATGGAAGAGGATAAACAGGAGAATGAACCAAATCAACTAGTTTCCTACGATAGGCTGGGTAGAGCATTTATAGATAACTTGTAGGCATCAAGAACTGGTGTAAACTTTTATGGATCAGCCCAAGTATCCATCTAGTTTAGGATTTTTGTACCTATAAGGGCCAGAGCCAGAGGTCAATGGAAGCAGGACTTCAAATCAGGTTCCATACAGTTTGTCCCTCAGCCACTGGAAGATACTCCGCCCCTTAGTGCTGTTATGACCAGTTGGCAGTGACAGACCTTTTAGTCTTCAAAACTATGAAGGAAAGCATGTCTGGACAATATACACTTGTCTTCTGCATACATGTTTCTTCCTTGAATTATAGACTATTGTAACTTATTTTAATGTCAATGTTTTGTTCTTTTTGTTGGTGGGTGACAGGAGGAATTCTCAAAGGCTGGCAGTGAGCTTTCTAAGTTCTAGTTCAAGTTTATTGTATTGGCTAAAAGCTATCACGATTGATTGAGATACAAATATGATCAAGGAAAAGCATGATAAAATCACAGATGTGTAAAAGAGGCCTATCTACAAGAGGAAAGATAAAGGGGGGGAGAAAATCAGGGGGATACATGTGGGTGCCCCTTCATATCTGGGAGTGAGAGAAAATCAGGGGGATACGTGTGGGTGCCCCTTCATATCTGGGAGTCCCCCACACAATTGATCGGGATGGCTCTCAGGAAATTAGCGCAGATGTTTCTGGCCACTGGTGCAAAGAATGCTGTTTTGTATGTAATATATGGGTCACAGTGAGCTTTCCAAAATCTACTGATGCAGACAACGCTGTTTTGTATGTAACATATGGGTCACAGTGAGCTTTCCAAAATCTCAACAACAGTGCAGAGTCTGGAAAATTTCTCTGTTTGTGCACTGTAGGTGGGAGAGCACAGGATAGAAGCTTTCGTGAGAATGGTAGTAGTCACTGTAGTGTATGGGTGACTTCAAGATCATGAAGCTTAGCCATCAGAAATATGACAGGGATATAAAAGAGAGGCCAGGACATACACTGTGAAGTCATTGTTTTTAAAACATACTAATTTTTGTTAATGAAAATCTGTCTGTAGGTTGAATATCATACCAAGTCACTAGAGGGCAGAAGTATCTAACCTCCTGAAAAGGAGTATGTAATGGAGTTTCCATATAAAGGTGGAAACTTTGGATAACATTAAATAAATAACCAGGGATGGATTATTTCCTTTCTCTCCAGCCAGACCATTAATTCATTAGCAAAATGAAAAATATGTCCCTGAAAAGTTACAGCTAAATTTAATGTGAGTTGTTGCTTTGACTCAGAAATGCTACTTGGGAGTAAGTCCCACTGGACTTAGTGTTACATCTGAATAAATACAGTTGATGTTGTGGATCTTGATTATCAACATAACGCTATTTTTTAAAAAAAATGTGAATGTGAAAGAGGTAGTTTTAAGATACTTTTTTTTACAAAAAGGGTGTTTGTCACAATTCCACAATTCACTTTTGAACAGTTTTTTAGGATCATCTAACATGATGCAAAATTGTGCATGCTTCTGAGTTCTCTAGAATTTTTCTTCAGGGTATGTGATACAAAAAACCTTCAGTGAGGGAAGACATGAAAAAAGGTCCAAGTTTAGGTCAGATGTTGTACCCTGATTCTGGGCCCATTTACTTGGGTTACCTAGTGTCCATTTCTACAATCAGCAAGACAAGAAGCAGCTGCAGTTGGTTTCCTGTCCTGCCCTTGTTCCTATGATGTCATAAGGCCCACCTATTTGACATCACAAAGAGAGCCCACCTCCTGGTCTCAGTTTTATGGCTTGAAATCCTAAGGAAGAAGATGCTACTTAATGAGCAACATCACAGCCACGAGGTCTGCATTTTAGACCCAGTCTGAAAATATAAATGTGCAAACTGAATGAATTAGGCACTGGTAGGAACCTCAGCTCTTAGATTCTACCTAACAAGGCATTCAGACACACAGAAATGATGGCTGATCTCAGTTCCCTGAAAACATAAAGGCCATTTTCAGTTTTGACCTATTTGTTGTGTTTGGGCTTTTTCCTTGACCAAATATATAGTTCACTCAAAAAACAAAACAAAACAAAACAAAAAAAACTTGTGATGGAACTTCATTACTTGTCAGTGAGGAAGGTAGGCATCCTTTTTTTTTTAAAGGGAAAAAGGAGGTGTTGTATCATGTGCCATGTCTGGAGAGTTTGATCCCATTTCTCTTTATTCTCTTAACATTTCCCTTCACCAGCACCTGTGTTTTATTACTGGCAAGCCTACACAGCAAATGCTGAGCAACAGTTAGAGTAAATATTTGTATTTTTGTTTCCTCAGATCTGTGCCCCCACACAGCAGTGGTCAGTAGGTTGTTGACTTAAACTTTATAGGCTGACCCAGAGCTCAAATAAATAATCCAGAATGGCATAATTTCTACAGCCGGAGCATTTTTCTTTGCAATATATGCGGGTGGGAGGTAGGGCTGGCTCTCTGGAAAGCTGTACTAGCTGCTTACTGAAGCATTTGCCTAGAAAGTTTACCCTCATGCCTCACTCTGATATTCTTCCAAGTAAGTAATTCAGGGCCTAGCTATTCTGGAGAACAAATACCACAGCCAAAAGAGTGGCCAGCAGGGTTCTTTGGATCATTACCATGGTATGGGGTTTTTTTCCTCCTTGTATGACTCCTTCCCCCACCCTCATTAAAGCAGCTGAGGCAGGGGAAATCAACCAGCCCATAGGAGGGTTGGATCTGATTTTCTACACCTCAGTTCGTCAAAACTGAGGTTTCTAAGGATAGGACCTTTTTAAAAAATTATGAATTCCTGGAGCTCGTTCCCCAATGCACCCTTGTGATTTGCAGGGAATCCACATGACTTGCAAAGGTGTATGTGACGTTCACCCTTTGTGGCACCTACGTGTTGTGCCCTCACAAAGGCTCCAGTCGTGTTTTCCTCTCACTGCCACCAGTGGATAACCTCAATCCACAATATAAATGAAGTTT